AAATGTTAGGTTTCGCAAGCAGTAAGTCAGTGTGCATGCTCTGAGATGCTACAAACAGGACAAATAATCAGTAGTTAATAATCAAATTTTAAATTATGTTTTTGTTCCTAAAGTAGTGCTATATCTTAAGAAATACAAGGTTGTTGGCAAACTTTCAACTACAGTAAGAAACTGTTTCATTGAACCTGAACAGGTGAGCGGGTGGACCTTGCTTAGAACTGGGCGGCAGTGTCCTACACTGGAAACTGGGGAGTCAGGTAACCACGCAGAGGGCAGAGGGCAGAGGAGCCAAGCTCATTGCTTTTTTATTTTAATTATTCTTGATTGTTTAAAAGCTCTTACAAATATTTTGCAGTGGTTGACCATTACTTTGAAAAGAGAAGGGGGGGAACAGATGGATGGACCCCGAAGAAGGAGGGAGGGAGGGGGAAAGGGAGGGAGAAGGAAAAGACAGGTAGCTCTGGGCTTAGCCCAGGGTTGGCTGCAGCTGCCTGTGCTCCTGTCGTGCCTGGTTCCCGAGGTGGAACCAGAGCTACACCACAGTCCTGTGCATCCTCGTCTTCTGTTCCATTTCTTCCTGCGTTTCACAGAAGAACTGAGGACATCCCTGGGAGCTTGGGATGTGTAAGAGTCTAACGATGACTCAAAAACAAGACCATGCCTTTCATTTCCATGGAAACACAAAGTACTGTCCGCTGGCCTCTTGCGTAGACAGAGAAACAGCAGAGCAATAACCTGACTCAGTTAGGATGACCTCTGTTAGCAGGTGAGAACCATGGTATCTACTTGACAGAGGTAGTTGTACAAACCAGTAGCAGGTCCCTGTTGTTCTTATGAAACACATCACAAGAAGGTTAAGAATGACAGGTGTATGCACAAGCATGGCCTTGTACATTCTTTAATGACAGGGCATGCCGGTAACCTTTCCGTATGACGTTGCCCCCCAATTTTTTTCTTTTTAAGTAAGATTACCACCTGATTGACTCATTCTGCAGGAACTGGTTTTCCTAAAAATTCAGAGAGACGGGAGGAGTCAAAAAAGCATTGACAAATGTACAGAGCAGCTTAGGAGCATACTCTGAACGTCTTTACTCCGTCCCAGCCCAGAGCCCTGCTATTAATAACAGCTGTTAACACTGGAGCCTAACTGGTCTTGCCATTTGGTCCCTCTTTTCTTCTTCTTTTCCCAGTTTGATCCGAAACATGCCTTCTCCCTTTCCTTCTAAATTCAGGAATGGAATAGTACGTTATCATGCCTTTGGATTGTGTTAAATGTCCGCTGTAACCAGCCCTACCTTATAATTGTTACAAACAGGATTTTTAATGGGTCCATAGTGTTTCTCCCAGAAACTAGGATTCCACTGTTTTCTCAGTTTTAGCCCAAACGTAGCACCCGTGAACCTGTCTTTTTTACTCAGAGTTTACCAATAAAAAAACAATCCCATTCACAGAAGTTAACAAGAATCTAAAAATGATCTTAAAAAGAAGTGTGAAACTTAGTTGAAGAACATTATAATAATTTGCTAATTACACATAAAAGACTTTTAAAAGTCGATTCTTTCTGAAATTAATGGTTTAGTGCAATTCCAATCAAAATTCTTAATGTGATTTTTCTTTTTTCTTGCAAAAAGAACATTATTATAATGATCCTCCGGCTACACATTATTAAGAAGAAAAATTATGCACATAGCTTCTGTGTTAATACGTGCTTTATGTCTACAGTGATTATTGAATCATTTTTGCTGTGATCAGTTTTTTTCCTTTATTGAATTTATGGGGGTGACATGGTTAATGAAAACATACAGGTTCCACGTGTACGACTCCATAAACATGGTCTGCACGCTGCGTCATGTGCCCACCACCCAAAGCCAAGCCTCTCTCTGTCCCGACTTCGCCCACTTCCACCTTCCCCTTCCCTTTCTTTGGGCTGCCACCATATTCTTGTCTGTGTCTATGTGTTTATATATATACATTTATATATATACATATATAGTATATATTTTTGTATATATATGTGTATATATATAGTATATATACGTATATACTTTATTTTCTTGCTTATATACGTATTATTTGTTTGCTTATTCCTCTTACCTTTATTCACCCAGCCCCTCAATACCCCTCCCCTTTGACACCTGCCAGTCTTTTCTATGTATCAATGATTCTGTTTCTATTTTGTTTATTAATTTATTATGTTCATTATATTCTACATTTAAGTGAGATTGAATGGTATTTGTCTTTCTCAGACTGGCTTAGTAATTTATTAATTAGCATAATAATTTCCAGGTCCGTCTATGCTGTCAAAAAAGGTAAGGTTTTGTTTTTTATGGCCGAGCAGAATCCCATTGTGTGAAAGTACCACAGTTTTTTTTGACCGCTCACCTACGGATGGGCACTTGGGCTGCATTCAAATCTTGGCTCCTGTAAATAACGCTGCAATGAACATAGGAGTATGTATATTCTTTTGAATCAGTGTTTTGGGTTTCTTCGAATATATTCCCAGAAACGGAATCATTGGGTCATAGGGAAGTTCAATTTTTTAATTTTTTGAGGCAACTCTACACTGCTTTCCACAGTGGCTGCACGAGTCTGCATTCCCACCAGCAGTGCACGAGGGTTCCCCTTTCGCCGCATCCTCACCTTCACTTGCTGTTTGCGGACTTAGTTATGGTTGCCATTCTGACAGGAGTGGGGTGATATCTTGTTGTTTTAATTTGCATTTTTGGGATAATAAACATCTTAAAGTGTTAAAAAAATTTAACTCTTTTTATCTAAGTAGTATCGATTTTAGAATTTGCATGCTGGCTAGAATTGAGTAAAACAGGCTTTCTCTATACAGTGATGGAGGGGACACAAACTATTTAGAAAATTATTGGTGATATGCAAGTAGTGCTTTAGAAGGATGTGTGCCTTTTATCAATAATCCCATTTCTAGAAAACCATTCAAAGGAAATAATCATAAAACAGGCACAGATTATAAGGGTAATCTCATTATAATAATAAGAACTGGTGTGTTAGAAATGTAATGATCAGGGACTAATTAGATAAAGTCTGACACAGCCATTCAGTTGAATAGTATGTAACCCTTATACTTGCATTTTCAAAGAAAGATCAAGAATGTTAAGAATGGTAAGAATGATCAAGAATGTTCTTGTGATGTTATCAGGGAACGCTGCAAAACGGTATGAATAGTACTACCATTCCAATTTAATGTGTCCTAATGTATACAAGAGAAAAGATTGAAAGGCAAAATAGTCAAAATATTAACAAGAATTTTCACTATTTGGTAGAGTTATAGACAGTTTAAATTTCCGTCTTGATGTTGTTTCATAGCTTTTGTTTTATGTACAGTAAGATAGTACTTTTATTATCAGAATATTACCCACTAAAATTAAAGCCTATTTCTTGAGTACATCTCTCTGAATTTGAAATTCAAGTAGACAAATAAGTAAAAATATAGAATATTTGAAAACTATCATCAAATTTCATTAAAGAGATAATACAAATAGATCTAGAACTGTGGATAGAAAGCATTTTTCTCCTACCCATGGAACATTTACAAAACCTTGTAGTATCTTGACCATGAAGAAAATCTTACTAAATTTTTAAAAATTAAAATGTTTTCTATATAAGCCAGAAAAACTAAAAATTAGCAAGAAAAAGCTGGCCATAAATATAACTGCTTATAAATAAGTTTTTTCCTAATAACCCCTAGATTAAAGAGGAAACCGCTCCGTGAGTAACATTCTTGGTGGTGCAGCCGTCCCACCTTCCCTGCCGAGGGCAGGTTTCAGATCCCGGGGAAAGGCCGACGGCAGACAGCGCCGAACCCTCCGGCTGCTGCGCTTTCCCCTGCGCGTGCACACTGAGGGTGAACTCCACTGCGTAATCAGGCGCAATAAGAGATTAACAATGAAAAGTTACAATAAAGTAGAACAGTTATAACTATACTGTAATAAAAATTAAGCAAATGGGTTCTCAGATACCTTATTGTTCTGTACTCACCCTTTTTCTTGTGATGATGTGCGAGGACCAAAGGTACGCGTGATGAGGTGGGATACAGCTGATGACGCAGGTGAAACACACTCGCCTTTGATGTGTCCCCACAGAGCACATATGTGTCCAATAAAAATTTATTTGGAGTAAATTTGACATTCAAATTAATCTCATCAGATTGAGAGATGCCTTTCACGTATTCATTTAATCAACATTCATTGATTATCCACTGTGCCAGCTGCCTTGGGGATGCAGGGATGAACAAGATGCAGCCTTGAGAAGCTTGTGGCAAGGGGAAACAGTTACCGATACTAGAAATAAAATCTTTAAAGTAATTTTTTTCCTCTGGTAGAGGATTGCCATCTATTTGGGCACAGGCCAGAGCCTTGTAAATGTTTAGCTATGGCACCGTTGAAAAATGCTTTGCCCTGGACAGTGTGGCTCAGGTGGAGCGTCATCCCATAGACCAACGCGTCGCAGGTTCGATTCCTAGTCAGGGCACATACCCAGGTTGCTGGTTTGATCCCTAGTCAGGGCGCGTACGAGAAGGCAAACTTACCAATGTTTTTCTCTCACATCAGCATTTCTCTCTGTCCATTTCTCTCTCTCTTCTTCCCCCTACATCCCCTCTCTCTGAAAACAATGGAAAAAAGTGTCCTCAGGTGAGGATTAAAAAAAAGAAAGAAAAATAATTTGAATAAGGTTTATCTTCAAAGTTTATCAGTATCAAAACTCAGTGCTTGATCCGGTTTTCGTCACACGCATACTCAGAAGACGGGTCACCACCAGTGCTGTAAGGTAAACATTATGACAGTTGCGTTGAATCCCAGCTATGATTGTCACCTTAAAGAGGGACATAAATGCTAGGTTGATGGGCAAAATACTAATGTTAAATGTATCGATAATTCTGCAATGATGTTTGCTTTATACAGTCTGGTTTTCCAAAATACATTTCTTCACTTAAAGAATCCCCTTTCGCTTAGCATATTTCTTCTTTTTTCTAGGAATTTATTTTATCAGAAGATTATAACAAGATGACGCCTGTGAAAAACTACCAAGGTAGGAACGAGAGCAGTGCTTTCCCAGGCCTGGACTCTGGAAGGTTCCCTGGTGGCTCCCCGTGCCACCGGAGGGGCCTTCCTATAAAATAGGCAGGGGGCCAAACCGGAGCAAGATGCTGAAGTTGCTCTTACCCACTTTAGAAGGGAGACGCAGAGGCCCGGAGAGGCAAGCTGCCTTGCCTGCGGCCCTGGAGCTGGTGCGCACAGGGCCTGACCTGGTCCCCACGGCTCCAGAGCTTTATCTTTGGCCTCCCGCCCACCCCACCACCCTGCTCGTTGCTCCGCACGGGGCTCAGTTTGCTTTTGGCTAAATGCTCTATAGGTGTCAGCGTGTGCAGACTCAGGGAGGGAATTCTGGATGGACTGCAGCTTCAGCACCGACAGTGTCCCGGAGGCCACGTCCTTCCTCTGGGTCAGGAGTGATTCTTGTGATAGGTTTCTTTGTCCAGGCCAACGGGGTCACGGGGTCAGAACATTTGAGGTGGACCTTTTCCCACTTGGAGGTCATTTCATCCAACCCTCTTGACCTCATTTACACCGCGTGGTCACCCAGCATCTCCTCGGGGCACCTCGAGACGACCCATGCTGATTTAGGAAAATGCTAAGAATTGAGTCCTTTAGATGGGGATTTTGAATCAAAATTCATTTCCCTATAGATTTATTCTCTCTTTTTCCCACATATCAGTTCTCATGTATTTTTTGAGTAACTATTTTTATTGAGTGCAGTTATAAACTATAACTATGTTTATAGAGAACCAGACATGTAGACTCTGCCCTATAAGTAGCTTATAATCATGTGGAGGGCACAGACGGGTCAACAGGCCATTAAAATGTTACATGATAAGGGAGCATTTGAGATCTTGCCCCCTGGCATGTGCCGTCAGTTTGGCACAAATAAACTCCTATAAAAATTCAGAAAATAATGCTGTGTGCCAAGTGCTAGAATGTTCCCCTATTGGTCTTTGCTCAGGCAATTGGAGCTACAAAAACTAAGTATACTCTCTCTTACACATGACAGCTTTTTAGTGATTTTAAAAGAGCCATGAAAATTCCAACCCCTTTCCATTTTTTCCCTTCTCTTTTCTAGCCTAAACATTTTTTATTTTCCTTTACATGACCTGAGTTTTTGTTCTTTAAAATTTTTTAAAAATTGTTTTGGCCACAAATCTTGGGATATTATGTTGTACTGTTGAGGCCGTTTATAAAAGGTGACACATTGTGGTATGAAGCCTGTAAGGTGGCTCCTAATGACCTTTGCCTCATAGTATTCGTGTCTCTCTCCTTGAGTGTAGGCTGGATCTAAAGTGTGGCAAGTACTGAATATCACTTCTGAGATTAGATTACAGAAAGGCGGGGGCTTCTGTCCTGCTTGCCCTCTCCTGCTCCCTGGCTCCCTTTTCTGATAGAAGCAGCTGCCGTGCTGTGAGCTAAGGAACAGAGTGGAGGCCCTGTCAACAGTCAGCAAGGACCTGAAGCCCTCGGTCAGCTGCCTGTGGGGGGACTGAGTCACGTCAACAGTGCGTGAGGCTTGGCATCAGCTCCTCCCTCTGTCAGGCTTTTAGATGAGACCACAGCCCACACCTCGATTCCGTCCCGTGGCACCAAGCTGAATGGCACCCACATCACCTCAAAACTGGGATGTGCCCGTTTAGAGAGGGGCCCCCCAGCCACTGATGAGAGCCCCTTTTCTGGCCTGTGTCTGCTGGGTCCGGGGAGGGTGACAGGCGCTGCGTCTCTGGACCACGCCTCACCAGCCTCCTTCAGGAGACCTGACGGTTGCTGTCTTGCCTCTTGGTTTTCAGCGCATCAGAGCAGAGTGACGATGGTCCTGTTTGTCCTGGAGCTGGAGTGGGTGCTGAGCACGGGGCAGGACAAGCAGTTTGCCTGGCACTGCTCTGAGAGCGGCCGCCGCCTGGGAGGCCACCGCACCAGGGCTGGGGCCTCGGGCCTGCAGTATCCTTTGCTGGAGGAGATTCCTTGGTGGGGACTTAGCTGCTGGCTTCTTTCTTTCATGAAAACTTGGGGTATGAGCAACTTGAAAGTTGGGTTTTGTTGTTTTTTTTTTTAATTTGCTGACTTGCCCTGCTGACTGAGATACTCACAGACTTTTCTAATGAGCAAATCCTCGTACAGGAGCCGTAAAGTGAGGTTATTTCGCTTGAAGTAACAGACCCCGCTGAGGAGTGGCTGTGTTCCACTGTGACCCAAAGCCTGACAGCTGGAGGGAACACTGCCCAGCTGTGAGTCTCCGCCGTCGCAAGGAATTGTGGGACGTGGAGAGGAAACCGTCACTGAAGCACAGTCTTTTATTTTTGTACAGAAGTGTAGATTCTAAGGCTGTGAACGCTGCCACCAGTGCCCACCGGATTCCTGTTCACTCAAACACTTGCTGAGAGGCTGCCATGCTAGGGCCATATTAGGTTAGTGGCATCTCCGGGCTTTGTTCTGGGTCCGAGGCTTTTCCGGGGTACGTAAAGCGATAGTGTTTTTGTCTCCGAGGTTTCCAGGGCCCGTGTGCTCCCCGTGATCACCTGCGTTTAATGCTGAGAACCCTCACGCCAGGCCCGCCACGCGTGAGGCCCGAGGGATGAAGCTTGCCACGGGAGGAGGAAGAGCACTGGCCTTCTTAGTACAGAAGCACCAGCCTCTGTTCACCTGGCGGATGAGGGAATAGGTGCAGATAGGTCAGTTCTCAGCCGAAGCTGGAAGAAATACTAAGACCTGCTTTCAGATTTTCGTCTCACTTGGAAACTGCCTATTGAGCGATTCTCAGCAGTCCGAAAGGTACCTTGCTGTTTCCTGCAGTAGCTGTATTTGTGGGTGAACAGGGTAATGGCGCACTTCCTTCCCCCACTGGGAGGGCAACACGGAGGAACTAATAATGGCCTTCGTGGAAGGTTATCAAAGCGACAAATTACCAGGAAGACCAGAAGCGAGGACGATAAGAAATGAAGAGCAGGATCAACTTATCTTTGAGAGGGTGGTACCACCTGTTAATAAAAGAAATGCCAAAGCTTACTTTTTAAAAGCCAGTTCAGACGAGCCTACTGCCTAGATTGAAACACAGGACTTCTCTGGCAGATAGGGCGGTGATTTCTCCTGGTGTTCGAGCTGGAAGGGCTGTAGAGATCACACCGTCCAGCTCGTTGGACAGAGGAGTCGGCCGCAGCCCAGGAAGGGTCATGCGCCTACGTGTGGCCACCCAGCTAGAGTGTAGGAAGGTCCCCACCAGAACCCAGGTGTCCTGCTTGGACTGTGGCTCTTTCCTGTCCCACTGCATCCCCTTCTGTGAGCATGACCAGAGGTACCTGTATAATTTATTCTGAATACGCTGGCTTCTCTATCGCTTGCCAAGCCAAGTGATTCATCTTCTGTGTCACTGGACCAAGCCAAGGAGTAGAGAAGTATAGATCTTGCCCTTGAGAAGTTTACTTTTTAAACTATCCAAAAACAAAAAACAAAACACGATTGCACAGAATTAAACTTCTCTTGGCTATGGTAGTCTTGACTCTCACAGGGCCTCTGGAAGCCCCCCTCGTTTTTCGGCTCTTTCCTTTGGTCACAATGTAGTTTACGAAGCCAATAATAATAATAATAATAATAATAATATTGGATATCAGACGTGCGCGCATGCATGTGTGTATGAGAGACACCCAGTGGCTTCATTTCCAGCACCCGTGACTGCCCAGTCTGCCCTTGCTCTCCTTGCTCTCCTGGTGGCGGGGCAGCTGCAGTACCACCGACCGACAGGCCCTCCCGGAAGATTCCCTCACGACCGCCAGCTCTGCTGCCCCGGCTCCAGTTGTGGAGCCGTAGTGCCAGCGCCGGCTTCTAGGAGCGCGCGCGTCCCAGGGCTGCACGCCAGTGGCGTGACAGAGCTGCGCTCGCCCAAGAGTCTGCGCCGAGAACTTCGGGACTTTCCCAGGGTTGGACATTGTTCTCTGCCCCGTGCGCAGGCTGTTAACCAGCAGCCCTTATGGTGCTGGGGTTTTTAAACACATTTTCTCATGGGCACCCTCCACCCCCACCTCTCTTTCTCTTGATCATAGTGACAGGTTTTTCTGTTTGTTTTGTTGTGTGTGTATGTGTGTGTGTGTGTGAGAGAGAGAGAGAGAGAGAGATAAGGGAAGAATAAGCAAGTCTGCAACAACATAAAATGTTCGGAATAATACCATTACCCCTATTTCTCTTCATAACGGACGCTGGGTGGTATAGATAAGAGGCTCCTAGAGACAAACTAATTCTCTCCCATCTCCACCTCTGTCCTTCATCCAAACCAGCCAGTGACAGGAGGAATCACATTGAATTCAGCCTTTTTTCTCGTCTTTCAGGCCTTTGAGTGGAGAGTAACTATGCAATGAAGATAACCAGAATTGAAGTAGAGGAATAAAGGAAGACAAAGAGACTGACCAGTGTACAAATTGAATTATCAATTTCTGAAAAAACTCAAAATCTTTGGTTGCTTTAGCTAAAGATCTGAAGCTTCAAACATGAAACGGTCTATAATACCACCACCACCACCAATAATAATAATAACAATAACAACAATAATAATAATGCAGAGAAGAGAAAAAGAATACCTTACATTTGCAGTCCCTGAGTGTTCATATAGTTCTTCTATTTAATGTTCCTTTGTTCGCCATGAATACAGTAAAGTGAGGTAAAAACAAAGAGACCTTATTCTCAATTTTCATGGTGTAGAAACCAAGGCTCACAGAGGCTCAGGTAGCTTAAATGACTGGCTCAAGGTCACAGGACTGCTACCTGGCAGAACCAGAATTAGAATTTGGGGGTTATAATCCCTTAGCTCACCCTCCGCGCAGCCACGTACAGCAGAGGGGGTTTTTCTCCGGGGTCCTATGGCAGGTTGGTGGTAGGAAATAGAACCATTTCCTTCCCCTCCCACTTTACTTCCTAGTCTGTAAATCTACCAGGGCTTTATCTGGTCTCCCCTTTCAGCCTTGTCATTTGGCCATGTCTGATCACATTTTTCATGCTTCCACAGAATAATCCAGGTAGTCTTCACTTGAAGATTCTCTTCATGTTGGAGATATTTTCAAGATGTCACCCTATGTAGTGAAATGTCTTTCCACCAAGCAGCTCCTTAGATCTAATCCTACTCAGGGAAAGAGTGCTGGAAAGCTGTGTAGGTTATCTTGATTTTCATATTTCCTCATGTCATGCTTACTGCCAATCACTCTGGCTTTCAGGTTGTACTACATAATTTTATTTCAACCCTCTTCCAAAGAGCTTGTGTTGAGTTCCTTCTTTTTTTCTTTTTCTTTTTCTTTTTCTTTTTCTTTCTTTCTTTTCTTTTTTTTTTTTTTTGGTAGAGAATTCTATTACTCACCTGCAGTTATAAAGACTGCTGGGTATCAAATTGAGTCTGTTTTTTCATCTGTGTTCTTTTAATTACTCAAGATAAATTTAAGGTGATCTTATTCTGTATAAATCTTAATATAGTTTTACACACACACACTTGTTTGTAGAGTATAACTTTTCTCTCTTGTTCTTCAGACTGGAAGAATTTGTTATGCTTTGTTCTCCTTTACTTTTTTTTTTTAAAGTCTTATTATGAGAATTTTCAAAACATGTACCAAATTGGAAAAAATGGTGTAAATGGACACCCACATACTTAATCATTTGGGTCCACTGTTGATTCTTCTATCCCTTTTTGCTTTCTTTTGCTGGAGTATTTTAAAGCAAATTCCAGACCTTGGGTCATTCCTTCCTTACATTCTTCATTGTGCACCTCTAAAAAAATAGGGACTTGTAAAAATAATCATAATGCTGTTATTACTCCTAAAAATCTATAGTCACTCCTTAAGATTGTTGAATAATCAATCCATTTTTAAAATTTTACTTGCTGTTTCTAAAATGGCTTTTTGTAGTGATTTCGTTTGAAATCGGGTCCAGACAAGCCTCCACGTTGGGTCAGGTTGTCCTGTTTCCTCAGCCTCTCAGCCTGGAGCAGGGACCCTGCCCCTTTTTCCACGCCCCTGTGGAAGTGCTGACTCAGTTCTTCAGACAGTCCCCCTCCACGCCCACCCCCACCCCCCGACTCTGCTGGCCTCTGCTTCCTACTGTTGTCGTTGAACTGCACCTCTGTGCTGCTAAATCCCTCTATGATCTCGCCCAGGTCAGATTCAACTTCTGGCAAGAACACTTGGTCATTGTGCTGTTTTGCTCCATATTGCTTCACAGCAGGGAGCTCTTGGTGTGGGGCTGTGGTCCTCCCAGGGAGGCCAAGATTGACCAGGGGCCGGGCTGGCAGCCGCTCCCTGCGTTGTGTCCCTTCCTGCCAGCCCCTCGTGGAAGGGCCGCACCCACCGCTGACCTTTGCCCGAGCAGGCTCTTTCACTTGTGTTGCAAAACGGCGACTTTGTAATCCTGTCATTTTTGCACTTGTGGTAGTTGGAATTCTTCTCTAACATGCCTCATTTAAGTAGGGCTGTTTGATTATCCTGAAATACAACTGATACAGGAAAAGCAACATAAATTCTTAATTATTTCTCTAAGTGCTTCAATTTCAGATAGAGATTTAGTGTCCTGGTTACCTGCAATAGGGATCTTTTATAAACTCTTAGGTTGGTTTGTTTTTTAAATAATATATTCAGTACATTTCAATAAACTGCTTTTTTTTTTAAAGCTCATATTGTTCTATCTTCGGCCAATAAGAGCCCCATCATCCTGACTCCTCTGTCTTTTTTTTTTTCCTTGCTCAATAAAATCAAAAATTTATTTACACCAAAGAATTCCAACACTGGATCTTCCATGTATGAAGGACAAAGTATTTAACACACACACACTCTAAGGGCTGGCAGGGCCACGAGAAGAGGGTGCATAGTTTCCCCACGATTGCAGGCCTACCAGCTCATTGTCACCGGAGAAGACCTCTCTGCTCCTGCCTCTCCGATGCGCTCACAAGGCCGAGGGGTGGGTCTTCTCACTGGATGGCCAGTGAGGAAAGGGGAAGGTAGGAGGAGAAGGTGGTAGAAAGCTAAAAAAGAAACTGTGGCCACATCTCCCATTAGCTCTTAAAGGGTGGTTCTTAATGTGAAACCTACACAGGCAATGTGTTTTTCTCTAGTAAAAGCGATTCGGGTATATCCAGCAAGGAGTGATTCAAAATGGCGAAGTCGAAGAAAATTGAAGAAGATTTTGCCTTCCCCCTTCTACGTGCTCTAGAGCCTTTTGGGAGGTGAAAGGGGAGAGACCAGCGGAAGGAGCCTGGGAGGGAAGGCTGTTCAAGCTGTAAACTAAACTGGAACGCAACCTCTAAGTGCAGTGGAATTAGGGTTAGGTTAGTAAGACGCGACTCATCCCTGTGTTTCTTTGACACAGCCCTGTAGCTTATGGCAGCCTCCTTGTTCTTTGGCAAGTTCATCTTGTACCTTCCTGTCCTGGTTCTGGAAGCAGCTGCTGCTTTTAGAATTTAGAGATAGCTAGAAAATATATGGCCTTATTTTTCAAAAGAAAATAAATTGTGTATAATATTTCTAATTCAGATTTAACATTAAAAGGTTTTTACTTCATCTTTCTACTTGATTCTTTTATCTTGGGCTGAAAATCTTGGTTCCTAACACATTAACACAATTCCTCATTTGCTTTGTCCTATGGTTTATCTATGTTGTTTTAAAATAATACTAATGCTATTATAATAACAAGACTACTGAATGCAATTTTAGATTTCTTTACAGTTCTCTTCCTTAGACGGTATTCTACAGAGGACGCAGTCAAAATGCTGTGTTTTAGAATCGCTTGAAATAATTGTTATCTATGTGGTTTTATCTATCACCAATTTGATACTAATTTTACATTATTGTCAATTTGGGGAATTTTTTTTAATTTTATAAATATATCTAATGTGTAAAATAATTACAAAATTCCAAAGCGGAAACTACATAATGAGAAGTCTCGCTCCCATTTCCGTCCCTCAGCTTGTCTCCCTCCTCCACAGGCAGCCCTTTTGGTTAGATCTTGACTTACTCTTCCAGAGCTTCCTTTTCTAAACATAAGCACACACACTTTGATTTGTTTTCTCCCTTTTTGCACACAGGTGGCATAGCACATAAACTTCCACATATCTTGGTTTTTCCGCCACTCAGTAATGTATCCTGAAAGTTACCCCACATCCATTTGCTTGTGGTATGGGGGTTCTTTTTCTCCCCCTCTGCATAGTATTCTATTTCATGGGTGTACTGCAGGTGATTGGCTAAGTCTCTGTTTGATGACTTTCGGGTTGTTTTCAAGCTTCAGCTGTTCCACTGGCCACAGGGAGTGAACAGCCTCAGTCGTGCGCGTTCTGAACTTTGGCCCAGGTATCTCGGGCACAGCTCTCTAGAGGCAGGATTGCTAGGCATTGTCAAGTTGGAAATCTCGGCACCTTGGATTTTTCCTGGGGACTGGTTATGTGGGCAGCCTCCGCGTGGCATGTGCCAGCCTTTTGGACCCCCAGAAGGAAAGCAGGTGTCTGTTGTGAGCCATCTTGTTTGTGCAGTTGTGGCCAGCGAGCCACTCTGGCCTGTTATTGGGGGGGCTCCTGGGACCCAAGCCCCCAGATGCTGTGCCAGGCTTTGGGCAGCCTTTCCACGGAGAGCAGCCTGGCCCGCTGGGGGAATGCTTTTTTGCACAGCACCATTTTCATTTCTTATCCATTAATATATTTTGCCTATTTTTCTGTAGCCTTTTTCTTAATTGCTCTTTATATATATTTATAGGGATTGGGGCTTTTTGTGACTTAAGTTGCAGATATTTTTTTCCAGTTGGTCTTTTGGCTTTGCTTATGTATTTTTTGTTTGTGTTTTTGAATAGTAATAGCTTTTTCCACTCCAAGGTTATAAAGGAACTCTTCCATCTAGAACTCACATTTTTAATTGTTTATATTTAGAGCTCTAATTCACTTGGAATTTGTCCTGGTATATACTGTGAAATACAAATCCTATTTAATTTTTCCAAATGACTGTCCAGTTTGTGCCATTATCTTTTCTTTATTCCATCTTTTTTTACCATTTGAAGAGCCACCTTTATTAGCCACCTTTGCTTATTAGACATGAAGCAAATTTCTATGTGCTGTAGGGTCTATTTCTAGACTTCCTGTTCTGTTGCATTGGTCCATTTGCCCATTTATGCACCAGTACCACATTTTTCATTAAAGAGACTTTATAACATGTGTTACTCTCTGATAGGGCTAGCCTTGCCCATCACATTCCATATTACTATTATTTTCAGAATATTTCTGGCTCTTACTTATTTTTCTATATAAACTTCAGAATTAACATATCTAGCTCTAGAAAAAAACATGTTGATATTTTTATAGGCATTATATTAAATTTATTAATTCATGTTGCGAGACGACATCATTATCACATTGAGTCTTACTGTCCAATAATACTGTGTCTTTTCATTTTATGTCCACTTTTTTATCTTTCAGCGTTGTGTTCAAGTTGTCCTCATTTATTACTTTTGTAAACCCCTCCACTCAGTTTTGAGAAACAATCCTTAATGCTTACATGATAGATTTGATGTTGAAAGCCGGCACGTGTTTATTGGTGACCATTCAGGCCAAGTAACCATCCTCAAACTGGAGCAAGAGAGCTGCACCCTGGTCACAACATTCAGAGGACACACAGGTGGGACTGAAAGCAAACCTCCACGCGCTACTTGCCCGCTTGGCGTGCTGCACCTGCCGTAAGGTCTGGCGTTCGGGTAACAAGGGTGGAAGTGCCGGTGCGCCCTGGGCTTGCGCAGAGGCACACATGGCGCACGTAACTGACCTCAGAATAATTCAGTGAGCTCTGATGTCAGAAGTTTTCAATATTGGGCCAAACAAAAGGGGGATCCATCTGTTTCAAAATGCGGTGATTTGGTTCTTTGTCACGCTGCCCTGGAGAAAGCCAGCATTGGCACATGTCAACGAGACCTTGTGTGAGACTATGCGGCAACGGCGCAAACCCCCAAAAGCCAAAGGGACCGCTGCCTCAGGCTGTCTTTGCCCTCCTTGGATCGAGGAGATGTGGGCAAGACAGGCTCCCACTTCCAAGACAAGTGAAATGATAAATATGTTCACTTTGGGTAGCCAGGTTGCATCAAAAGGTAAAGTTCATTGTTAAGTGCCCTTCCATTGGGGCTCCTTCCAGGTTAAAACCCAAGGCCTCCTTGATGTTACGGGTCTGCTCAGAGTCATTTAAACAAGGTACAGTGATAGAAAATATCCACATGTAGGCTTTGAAGGTCTTGAACAGTGGTGATGAGGATTAATTTTTTACTAGTATTTTTAATATGTGATGTTAACCTTGGAAAATAAGTCACTGCCTGTTTTTGTGGTTTTTTAATGGGCTTCTACAGATGACACCCATGGTTGAGTACAGAACAAGGTTAACACTGAGTTTAGACGTGTAAGAACAAAGGTGGGTGACTGGGGGTATAAAATAGGATAGTACTTAGATCTTAAGGGATTTCCTAAAGGGAAAGAAAGGAAAGTGAGAATATGAAATCCAGGGGAAAAGATTCTTAAAAGATCGCCTGCATTATTATCTCTGCCTTTGGGAGGAAGAATACACAGAAACACATCCCCTGTGGGCAGGACCCAGTTCTTTCTGATTGGATTTCTCTTTTTTTAGCCACTTACACCCTGGCCAACCCTGGCCTGGTCGGGACCCAGAACTCCCCTCCCCCTCAGGAATCTTAAACTTCAGTGTTTCACTGCGAACTCCAGCCTCCTCCTAATCTTTCACTTCCCTAAACCCTTCTGCGAGCTCCACCTGCCCTCGTCCTAGTTGAGAAGTCTGGACCTTGATCCCTCACTGCCCGGTCTCCACGCCACCTTTCCTTCCTTCCCAGGTGCGCGTCCCTTCAGCCGTGCGCTTCTCAGCGTGCTCAGCTCAGGGCCCCTCTGTGCTTCCTTCCGGGTGAGCTTTGTCCCGGTTTCACCGGCTCTCCATGCCCTCTTATTGCGCTGGCAGCCACGGGGTCAGGGCCCAGTGCAAGGTCGTTCCAAGCCGAGTCAGGAATGGCCTCAGAATCCGGCCACAGAATCCGGCCACGTGGTCCCTCTGCAGATCCTTAGGGCGCGCCTCCCGTTTTCCTTCACCGCTTTCGCAGCTGTCTGTCACTTTCCCACGCCCCGCCCCTCCCATTCCAGCCTCCTCCTCCTCCAAAGAAAAATAGATCATTATCAGATAGAAACTGTTTTGTTTTTAATCCTCACCTAGGGACATGCTTATTGATTTTAGAGAGAGGGAAAGGGCGGGGGAAAGAAAAGGAGAGAAACATAGATGTGAGAGAACCACCAATCAATCGCTTCTAGTACAGGGACCGAACCTGCAACCTGGGTTTGTGCCCTGACGGGCAATCGGGCCCATGACCTTTCAGTTGATCAGGTGATGCCCAACCAACTGAGCCACACCGGCCAGGGCCAGGTAGAAGCTTTTAAAAAAAATTATTTTTTTGCCCACCCATAGTCCCTCCGCCACAAACTTCTAACCCACCCCCCATCTCATGCCCCTCCGCCTCAGGCAGGAGCCTGCTGCCCGCTCTCCCTCCAGGGCCAACCCTTCTCAGTTTACTAACATGCCAAAGTTTCTTGCCTGTTACAGAAACAAACCCAAATCCTCTTGGTCCATGTTCTGTTGTAGCAATTTTCTTAACAGCAATGTTTTTTCTCTTTAAAAAATATTGTGGTAAACAATACATAATCTTAAATGTACCATTTTAATCATTGTTAACTGTGTGTGCAGTGGCATTAAGTGCATTCACATTGTATTGCAAGTGTCACAACCGTCCACCTAGAGAATATTTTTCGTCTTGCAAAGCTAGCACCGCCCCCGCCCCCCGCCCTGCCCCGCCGCAGCCCGGGCAGGCAGCATGCGGCCTTCCGGGTCTGCGAACCCCCGACTGTTCCACGGGCCGCCCAGGGGTGGCATCGCGGTATTTGTTTTCCAACTGGCTGGCTTCCCTTAGCACCATCCCCGTGTTGTAGCGAATGCAGTGCTTGGAAAGAATATCGTTTTCCCAGCTGCTTCCATTTCTTGACCTGCCTTTTCCTTTCCAGCCAGCCGCACGCGGCCTGTCTCATCACTCCGCGCATCCTGTGCTCCCCAAGGCAGCCTGCTGGTGGCCGGTCCCGCGGATGCATTCAGCCCGCGCCCTATGAGGACCTCCCCGCGCGTCTCCCAGGGCCCTCGCGTCCTTCTTGTCCCGCGCCCCTTGGCCCGTGGGCGCACGCGCTCCTCCCCTCCGCTCTTCCAGCTGCCCTTTCTCCTCCCCTCTGTGGGCTCCGGGAGTTTCTCCCTGGACCCTCGTCTCTTTACATCCGTGCTCTCTCGGGGTGACCTGAGCCACGACCCTCAGTCCCAGAAATAAAAAGCACAGCCATTGTCCTCCAATTGCCCCCGGGCCCAGTGCGAGAGACAGAAGCTAAACCAGCCATTCCAGCGCGGAGCAGTGGGGGCCGGTCCGGGCACACCCCCCCTGCCCTGAGCACCCCGGGCCGCAGCTGGAGTGAAGGTCTTTCGGGGAGGAGTATGTGTGGAATTTAGGAAAAAGAGAGCAGTCCAGGCAGAGAAAACCAGCGTAGCCCAAGGCGTGGAGATGCGCGAGAGAGTGGTGCTCTCCAGAACGTGTAGGAGCTGTGCGGACGGCTGGACCGCTGAGTTGGAGGCGGGGGCAGCCAGAAAGGACGCGAGGGTCCATTCAGGTCACGGCAGGCCTCGTGCAGGTCAGTGAGAAACCATTAGAGCGTTGTCTTTAGGCAAAGATGCCAACTCGATCCAAGTTAAAAGAGGGTTTTGGCAGCAAGTATAGAGTGTCCTGGGAAAGCTGGGACCTGGGCGTGTGGCCGTGGTCACGGGAAAGCGAAGAGGGGGTGGGCCCACGGTCAGAGTTTAGGCGGTGAGCCCCGCAGGCCCAAGGTCCAGGCCGGTCCCAGGCTGGGGCTACGCCGAGGAGGCGTGGAGCCTGACCTTGTGCGCTCACCCCATGGGGGCTGATGAGAGTGCGCGGGGTCTGTGCTGCTGCCTGCAAGGCAGGAAGGGGCGAGTAGCTGCTGCTTCCCGCGGTGGGAGGGGAGCTGGATGTGGCCCAAGGGTTTCCTGTCCTGGGAGGTAGTTCTACAGAATGTTACCTTGACACTGTGTTTTATTTTCCTCAAAATGTTCAAAGCATTGTCATAGGATTTCATCATGAGGGACCCTTGAGGGACACGGCCCAGGAAGGTCACGACCCTGAAGGCAAATGTAGCAGGTGGCATATTTAACTTGCTCTTATTCCTGGACAGCAGTATCTACCCATTGCCAACCTGGCTACAGCACCACTCATTTAAAGGTGGAGCAAGGATGTCTAAGAGATTCCATGGTGACCCAAACATTATCAAGCTCTTCCAATGTAGTCGGCTCACTCTGGACCCTGAGAGGGCCCTGTATGGGTGGGGCAGGCACAATCCTGGAAAAGGGGGCTTTGTAAGGATTTATTTCATCCTTATGAAACTAGAGGCAAACTTCTTTATTAACTCTTAGGGGAATTATTGAAAGTAACAGGTAATTGTGACAAGTAACAAAAACAAGGAAAGATAGCTCAGTGCAAGTGTAGAGATTCAAATAGAAACCATGATTTTTGTTTACAGTGGAGGCTCCCGCTCAACCTAGTTTACAGAAAATGCGATAGATGCACAGCTTCATCAAGAGTCGGTCAGGGCGTTAGATCCGGCTGTGATGAGAGCTGGGTTGCGTGGGTGGAAACGAGCGTGATGCTTGGTTTACTCGCCTTCCCAGCCACGGCACACCAGCATTAAACTAACCATTGCGGGCAGCCCGGAGCTGGGCGTAGCCTGTGCTGGGAAGCCCGTGCGCTGCGCGGAGTCATGCTGGGCCACCGCAGCAGAGGGCCTCTGCTTGTCCGGCCGTGGAAGGGAGCCTTCCGAGGAGGCCGTGCCGAAACGACACCCTAGGGAGCAAGGAGACCCCCGGGGGCAGCACAGCCCAGGCCCCACATGTGTGGACGGCGTGTAGCCTGGAGTGGGGAGTGAGGACAGCTGGGTGCCAGCGAGCGGCGGTGCAGGGGGCCTTTCCCGCCACGGAAAGAACCTCGCGGGGCGCTCTCGGGCGGCGGGAAGCTGGGTTTCCATTTTAACAAACCCCCAACAGCAGAGGGTAGTGGATTGATTAGGGACAAGAATGGATGTGAGGAGACCATTCAGGAGGAAAGCAGCTGCTGCAGTTCCTATGTGAACAGAGTTTTACGTTTAAAACTATTCACCTTAGCAAAATTTACAATACTTAAAAGTTGAGAAAAATCTAACAACACGTTAAATAAATTAAGGTATGTTCATGTGTTGGGATATTAGGCAGCCATTAAATATTACAATTATGAGACTAATAATACAGATTTTATAATGATTAAATGCCTTTTTTAAGAATGAATTTATGTTCAAAATTACCCTATAGGTCATATTGTGGCGGGCAAAGGCAGGGAGAAGCACATACTGAAACATTGATGGGGGAGGGGTGGAAAGGCGGCGTAGTCTGAAGTGAAGTCAGGCAACGTGGCAGAGATGACTTCTGTCATGTAAAACGTCATACACCCTGGGGCCCGCGACCCTGGCAGCACGGCTCTCGTTCCCCGAGTTACAGAGGGC